GCTTGAGAGTCTCATTTTCAATGGGCACTTGTCAACGTTTCACTTCTTGGCTATAATTTGCTTGACATGCCTCAGGGCTCGACATGGCCGCTGGCTAACTCAAAGAGCACTTGAATCTGAGGCAGCGTACACAACAAACTACGCCCACACACACACACACACACGCACACTCACAGCATGCGGTGAGAAAACAAAAGCCAAAAGCTCAAAGGCAGTTGCCAAAAATTGCCCATAACGAGCACTTGAAGACAAATGTGACATGGCACAAAGTTCAGAGGCATTTTGGAAGGATACCTTTTCAATAGCAGCGCTAGGTATATATTTATATATATATATATAGATTTAAACTGCTCGAACATAGAGCGAGAGAGAGAGAGAGAGAGAGAGTCCACTTAAAGCTGTGGCCCAATCATTTGTCTTGATGAAGCCAAACGTCACATAAGTTACCATTTTTACCTAATTTATACAGCCGTATGTGTGTGGGTGTCTGTGTTTGTGTGTGTGTGCGGTCGTCAGTCGTATCCACTTGAATCCATATAATTGCGCTTATCTCTTGGCGCACACTCAACTGCCAGTGGCTCAATATGTTTCTGCTATGAAATGAAGTGTCCAAAATGCTGCGGCTCCTGCGGCTCCTGCTGCTGCTGCTGCTGCGGATTCTGTGGCCACTTCTGAAGGACACCACCAAAAGGAGCAAAATGGCAACAAATACGAAAAAAGTTGAGCTCAAATTTTTGTACATCTATTTGATTTAAAACGAAATACCTTTTTCTTTTAGAGAAGTAGCAGCAGTTGTTGTTGTTGTTGCTGCTGATGGTATTTTATTTACCTTTCTGTGTGTCTTATACTATTTTTTGTTGTTGTATATTTTTCTTCGCTTTGGTGACATTTTTATATGGTATGTGTGTTTTCACTCGGTGCGCCGCAAACTTTTTGGCATGCCACCAATGAGATTATCTTAAGTGGGCAACCATTTTTCTACGGACAGCAGCGAAACCAAAAAAATCAACAAAAGAGTGAGAGAGACAGAGAGAAAGGAAAAAAGGGAGGTAGAGCGAGCTAGACTGCGTAGAAATGCAGTTAAACTTGATTCGATTCTGTGCGATTGCTAAATAAGTTTTGCAATAGTTTGCTAAGTGGACATCACGTTAATTTAGTTTTGGGTAGAGTACAAAATAGGAATTTCATTTATAATATTTATATAATATTTAGTAAGGATTGACAATGTTTTAAAATTGAGAAAAAATAGGTAAATAAATAATTATAAAATTGTATAACTATTGATGTTCAAGCTTCGTAAAAGTTTATTGATTGAACTGAGCAGCTGCTAATTTAATCAATGAACTAATCCTAAAGAATTAACAGTAAAGAAGCACGTCTGATCTTTCTACGGTATGAAATTCTCTTGAAATATGTCTATTAGGATAGCACTCTTAAATAAGCGTTGCTTTACAATCATTGAAATTAACTTAAAGTATTTAAAGTAAATTTGCATACCTAATTTAAGCGACTTCCAGATAAACAATCTTAAAGCAAAAAATGTCATAAAATAAAATAAATTTTTAATTAAAAAAAGAAAAAATTCATAAAATTTAATTGTTCAATAATAAAAGAATAAATTCATATAATAATTTTGATTTTTAAATACTTCTACTAGTTCCTCGAATTCAATTCGATTTTTCTATATTTTCTTTATATTTTCTTACACACACATTAACATTCATCGAACCCCAAACCTCCTCCTGTTTGTTCCACTTAAACCTGCCCTTACCTTATCTACGCGTCCAGACATATTGTTTTCTTTGATTTAAGACAAAGAAAAATATTCTTTTTTATCTGTAGTCTGCAATTTTTGGGGTAGCACTTTTCCTTTCCCTTCCCTTCCCATCCCATCCCACGYTCACTTCGTCACATACCCTTCGCGCTCTTAATTTACCTATGCTCCGCAACGGAAAGCTTCAAGTGTGAACACACATTATAATAAACGCCTCAATTGTTGTGCAGTCATCTGTGTAATTTATGTTTAGCTAATGTTCAGGCATCGATGAGCTTGTCAGCTTTTGTGAATCACAACATACCAACACAGACACTCGCACACTCACACACAGACAAGTTAGGTAGCTTGTCGTGTCCACACACACACACACACACACACACACACACACACATACATTAACTCCCATCGAGCTGAAATGACGTTAAGGTTGCTTCGTTGAGTCTAATAGACTTTCATGGCAGCCAACTGTGTGAGTTGACTTCGACTTTGCCCCAGTTTCAACCAGTTTTAGAGACGCCTCAGGGCGAGGTCCTGTGGCTCACTAAGCTGCAGGCGCACGGTAAGCGAAATCCTTTTGCCATCCACTTTGCTCCGGCATTTTATAGAGCTTGCTCTGCTCGCCTTTGCCTTTTTTACTTGCTTTTATTTTTCGCAGACATGTTTCAATGATTTCTTATTTTTGCCATGGGATGAAACTGTTGCGCCATTTTCTCGTTTAGAGAAATTCAATTTCTATGCACTATACCAAACAAAAGGGTATTTTAGCTTTCGAATGTTATAAGTGATATATATATGTATAT